ATGAGACGAATTATTTTTGCAGTTACAGGAACCCAGCTTCGGTGTATAACGGAACACGAGCCGTTTGGAACTAAGATCAGCCTCAGTTGGCATGCAACAAGGTAGAAATGATAGACTTGAAGATCATTCTTCATCTGCGTAAACACTGTTACAAACACTTAGCTGCCAAAATTAACGCTGACAAAAGGCAGAAGTTAATTGTTACGAATTAAATTTTGTTTGTTTCACCATTTACCTTTAATTTTCAAAGTTTTTTTTCATCTTTATTGCTTAGAATTAGCTTCAATGCAGTATTTTTCGTTGTAAAATGTTTGAAATGTCGCGATTTGTGAGAAGTAGAGCTTTGTTATTTTCGACGTGTGCCAGAAAATCGCCTCTGTCATACAGTGTTTACATTAGAAATTACCTCAATATGTTACCCTCCATAGGACTTTGATGCTAAAGGTGATAGCACGCTCAAAGGAAATGAGTTTTTTAGCATGCTTAAAGTGTGTCCAAGTGCACACTGCATTAGCAAAATCTCTTGTTTCATAGAACACACTTAAAACAAAAAAAGCGTGACCTGTCGAACAATGTAGCATGAGCAGTTGAACATAGAAGCGTGTTAACCTTCAAAAACAAAAGCTACTGTGCGAGACGACACAAAACACTTAGCACGCGAGATCCCACTCAACAATTAGGCTAGTGTGTCCACCGTGTCAAAAGAACTTTAAAAAAATGACTGGCTGAAGTGGTTAAAATGGATATCGATGCATAGTTACTTACCATTCTTGAATGAGCCTATTGAAGAATAATAGTCGATTCTGCTGGTCGTCAAGCATAAGCTTATCGATTTTATTTCACCCTTCTGACATACACCATCGATCGCTGTTTTTCGAGCATAAAAGATGATGAGATTCAGCTTCAAAGTCAACGTAACTCATTGCTTTTTGCAGTTTCTTCGAAGAAGTACTCTTTAGTTGGATTTACAGTACCCGATGGTGGGCTAAATGCTGTTTTCCATCTTTTTCTTGGTCATAAACATCGACCATTTCAAGTCTTGTGTATTGTGTTGTAGATATATTTTCTCGCACAAATGCAAAACAAATCTCGCATGGTAAAGTTTGGGGAATATTTTTTGAGCGGTTGAGTAGCATTATGACCAAAAGCGTTGTTTGCTCAAAGTAAACATGAGCACACCACACCAGGCACGAGCTTTGTCAAAATTCAGTTCTAGTGTTTGTGCAGATTTTACTCTAATGAATTTGAACGGTAATTTGAAACCTAAAAACGCGCTGGTGCAAGCGAAAGTCACAAGTATTTATATTAACAGACTATGCGCTTCTACAAATTTTCTGTTGTCTTTGTAGTTTCGCTTGCCAAATTGAAATTAAGCTTTTCAAAACTCCAAACTCCGCGCTAAAATATCAAAGAAAGTTTGGAGTGTCTTAGGGCTGGGAATAAACATAAGCCGCGTTTGGTTTCGCGAGCGTTCCATAGTGAGAAAAACATTCGTTGCTAGATTCTTGCTGGTTTTAAGAGGGGGACTGTTGTCTGATTTGAATCTCGCTCATGTCTGGCCATAAATTTTTGAATGGGACAGCTTGAATATAGCCCGTTCAGATGCGCTCAGCAGCACACACGTCTCGCTCTGTTCCTTCTCAATTCTCGTTTGTTTGTCTCGCTCGTGTCAGCCAAATCATCACCATGACTTGTCTTGTTTGATTCTCACTGATTAGCATTTTTTTTATGGCTGGTGTCTCGCCGAGAATTTTCGTATGGGGCGCGCCATCGATCGCACACTAAGCATGCCATTGACCGTACTAACTAAGCGTGCTACCGATCACACAGTAAAGAGTGCTATCGATCGCACACTAAGCGTGCTATTGATCGCATACTAAGGGGAACAAAAGATTTAGCATGTTAAGTCGTG